CTATCTATCTATCTATCTATCTATCTATCTATCTATCTATCTATCTATCTATCTATCTATCTATCTATCTATCTATCTATCTATCTATCTATCTATCTATCTATCTATCTATCTATCTATCTATCTATCTATCTATCTATCTATCTATCTATCTATCTATCTATCTATCTATCTATCTATCTATCTATCTATCTATCTATCTATCTATCTGTCTGTCTATCTCTCTACCTGTCTGTCTATCTCTCTATCTCTCTCTCTATCTATCTATCTATCTATCTATCTATCTATCTATCTATCTATCTATCTATCTATCTATCTATCTATCTATCTATCTATCTATCTATCTATCTATCTATCTATCTATCTATCTATCTATCTATCTATCTATCTATCTATCTATCTATCTATCTATCTATCTATCTGTCTGTCTGTCTGTCTGTCTGTCTGTCTGTCTGTCTGTCTGTCTGTCTGTCTGTCTGTCTGTCTGTCTGTCTGTCTGTCGGATAGTCTATCGAGTTAAAAATCTTTCTTTCTATCTGTCTATGTTTCTAAAGTCTATATTTCTAGCTATCTTTATATATGTCTGCCTTCCGTCTGTCTGTCTGTCTATCCTGTATGTATATCTGTCTGTGTGTCTGTCTTTCTATCCATTTGTCTGCTTACAAGTGTCTTTGTCTTTCTCGAGAGATAACTAACTACTGCCTCTGACCTACACACATACCTGACTATCACCGTCTGTCAAGTAGACAGACATACAGATACTATCTACATTGATATAACTCCTTGTGAAACCCCCGATAAAATGCCACGACCTATTAGGGGCGGGATCGTGAATTTTGGCTAAACCAATCCAAACACGGCTTCCGTTGATTCCATGTGAACTGCTCCATGCACGGAGCAAACTTATTAACGGTCGGTAGCGCAAAGTTTGACTCAGATTCCACAAGATTCCATCAAACAATTTCTCAGACAATGTTAGAGGTGAAATGTCAAAGTTCGTTCAGCAAGAACGGGAGATAATTTTGAAACTACAGCGGAAATTATACAAACTTGACTATCTGTTCTTATCCTATCAAATAGAAAACAAATGACACAAAGCAACAGCCATGGACAATTGTATAATGCATTAAATTAGGTCGAATTTGGCATGCGGACCTGGAACTGAATGATGTAATATA